AGTTAGGTGGTGTTATGGTTATTTTTAAACTCATAATTTTGGGTAGAAATATGAAATTTTCTTCTTCTTTTTTGTACTACCAAAAGGTAGTACTATCTTACATGCACACATAATATTACATAAAGAATATCCCCCCCAAAACACCGTATATATATATAATAATTATAAGGTCAAAAACAGAAAAGGTAATAAACTTTCTTCGGGTGTTAATAGATGACGCTGCGTGGGGGAGAGAGGAGCGGCTGTCTCCCGTGTACAGAAACATTTGAAATATATTGTAAGCCAGCAGCCAAATGCCAACAGTTTGTTATTGGTATTTATATTTATTCCTCACATCTATTGGTATACAGTAAAGCCTTATTATTCGCGGGGGTCAGGTTCCAAGGAATGGCTTAAATAGAGAAAACCGCAATTATTAACTTATACTACCTAGTGCACCACTGTATACCTTTAACAAACAACCGACCGGCCGCGGCAGCACTCGTCCCCTATTTTAACTTGATGTATTTCTCGGCGTATAAACTGAGGTTGTAAGTCCCCCCAAATCATGGGGTCGGCTTATACAGCAGATCTAGATCACGAGCCTTAAAAATTTCTGGTGCATAGCAGCGAGACACTATTTACTACTCTCAAACTTCAATGTGATTTCCTGCCCATTCAGTTGTTTTTCTCTTTCTGAGAACCCATATACAGTAGTATAAAACAATTTTGAAATACAACTTTGTTATTATAAAGACATGAACCGAAATGGCCTAAAATACTAAAATAATAGAACTCCTACAACAGGGACATGACACGACTGTTGTTCACTATTACTGGCTTGATCACCTGTTATTCACCCCAAGGACATTAGTGTAAAAGAACGTGTTGAAATACAAATTCATTATTTAAAACATGGATAAAAAAAAGACCAGTAAAAATGTTAAAATACAATACTGTATAGAATTGAATTGGTTTAGAATCCTCCTCTGAGCTAGTGGTTCCTTCCGGTGAATCCCAGTCCTCCGACTCGGCTTCGGATTCATCGTCATCTTCCCACACCCACATCATCCTCCTCACCATCCAGAGAATTGGATATGCAACATTTCTTTTTACCATTTTACCACCGTTTCTGTTTTTATGGCATTCCAAGAATCTATTTACGCTTCATTGCGTAAATACATACGGCGTGCCCGGTGATGACGTATCCAATCTCTCGGTTCTCGTCGACCCACTCGAATAATTTCTCCTTCAGTTCTGGCCACTGTTGTTAACCTCTTCTCAGGGCACATGTTCTTCTGGGGACGTCTATTAACTTTTCTTCAGCCTTCTTCCACTCTTGAACCTCATTCTCGTTAATGTCAAATTCTCTTGCAGCTGCAGAGTTGTTTGATACTCATAATGAGTCGAGTTTGGGGGTCGGGTTATACACACGACATCAGCCTAGAACTGATATTTCAGCTAAATATTCGGGGGTTGGCTTATACGCCGAGAAATGTGGTAACTAATAATATTAAAACTTTCTTTGTCGGGTTCATCACTGCTGCCTTTTACATTTCACGCCACTAGCACTCACACTAGGCAGTCTTTTAGGGGCCATTTTACACAGACACACTCAAGTTTTGAGAGTACAACACGAGATGCTGCGCGGGGCGACTCACTGTGCTGCGGGAAAAGACTCGGAAGCTTGCCGCCATAGCCACTATCGGCTTACCACGAATCGTCAAAATTGTAAATCGCAAACCCGCGAATGGCGAGGATCTACTGAATATTATTTATAATACGAGTTGATAACTGGAGGGAATTCAGTTTCAGAGGTGGTAACACTGCTCATAGTGAGTAAAGGGGAATAGGTTCCAATCCTTCGTTAATTTGTAAGGTCATTCCATGGTAAGGAATGTTACATTTGGAAACAACTTATTGAACCACTCTCGGTTATATTGTCAAAAGTAAGCAATATAAACAAATGGCTCTTGCAAGATATATCACCAACACTTGACACTACCTCATACAAGTCACATTGTTTGTTTTAACTTAGATTATTTAAAAAGTTGAGTGAGGAACATCACCATGATGCTGCCCCCCTAGTCACTTCAGTAAGCCTGTGATTTGATTGGTTCAGTCAAGGAATGATTCATATCAATAATAAGTTAATTGATAAGGATAGTAACCATACCCAGCAATTTGATTATTCCTAATAACTATTATACTGTTAAGGAAAACGTGACCGTAATACAAGAGTGAGGAACGTTATCTGTGCGCTGTTTATTGACTTATATAGTATATACAGTAAGACCCCACCCCCTCCCCTAAGTCGAACTTCCATAAGTTGGAAACCACCATCAGTTGGACTAGAGTCTGTGGGTCTACCATCACTCACCCTACACCTCACAGCCAGAAATGGTGGTAGCTCCTGATCTGCCACCTCACATCCTTGATTCGAACAGTGAACAAACCAAGAAATAAATGCTAGTTTTAAGTATAACTCAACAGATAAATATAAATGAAACTATATAGTATAAGTGAAACTAGAGTAAAGTAAGTTTAAATGGCCCCCCTTTGTCCCCCAATTCAAGATTCGCCGGTGATAATAATCTCAAAATTCATCAGCTACAATGTAAATACAGTACACTGTAAATAAATACTGTATTGTTAACTTTAATCTTGCCTTATGGGTGTGATTTTTCAGCAAAAAGATGGTCAAAATTACCGGGGGAGGGGAGGAGGGAGCTCTCCATAGTCGTACTAGTTTGAGCCCCATATAGCCTGACTTGGGGGGGGGGGGAGACTCTTATTACTGTTACTGTAATTGTAAGCATGCTAAAAAACAAAACAAAATAAATATGTACTGATGTAAAATTTACATATTAAACTAACCACAAGACAATGCTTGTTTAAGATACATTAACATAAATTATGTGTGTAGCTACATATCAATGCAACAACTTTGGGAGATGTACATACTGATTAAAAAGATAATAATATTTCTAATTGATGGAGGATGTTGCTACAGTATGTATCAATGTTGATACTTGAGGAGTTGGCACAACCATGTCCTCTACCATCTCATCTCTGTCTGGGTTATCTGGAAAATGAAACTCAATATTGTACTGAATGACCCTATCGATCTCTACTGTAACTAACATGGATCATGAACCTCTTCTGTCACTCACTTAATTTTTATAATTGACTGCAACAGAATGCATAGAGAACTCTTTGGTTGCATAATGAACCAATACAAAATTTGCTGGGACTAGTTTTTGCATTGGCTCAACACAGTAGACTCAGGCTGTGATATGATGGCCAGAAGGTTTAACTGATCTGCACTGTTGAATGGCTTAAAGTTGTGCCACATCTCTACATACTGGGTGTTTATATCATCAGCAGACACATTCAGCAACTCTATTTTATGTCATTTGCTTTACCTCATCATTAAAGTTCCTTACTGACCTTACTGTACAGTGACCTCCCAAAACATGTCTGTAGATGTTCCATTTCAGTAGAGCACCAATTCCATCATGAGGGCCTTTGCCATGGTAGCTCTCATGAAAATTCCCTTCAGCAGCAGTTGTGTACAGTATACTCGTATGTTTGTAAAACGATAGAGCTACCATAGAACACCTGTTGTTGAAGTGGGCTGATGGTTCAACAGTGATACAGGTGTAAAGTGAATATCTGAAGAATTCAAATAGTAGAAATAGGCATTATTAAACACCTGAACCTCAAGACTGGATTGTGACACTATTTGATACTACTGCCAAAGCCTGTGATTTCTTGTCTAAAGCCGAGTGATAAATGTTGTCAGTACCATGCCTCACTTTGTACGTGTAACGTGCGTGAAGGGTATTGTGGCATACCAAAGTCACAGAAAATATCACAGGGCTACAGTAGTAAGGTACTAGGATACCTATTTATAAGACAAAGTTATGTTCAGTTTCTCTAATTCATAAGCCGTGTATGGTAAAAATGTTGACAAAGCGTCACAAACGTTACTCCCAAATTACTTAGTGACACTTCAAGGTCATGTCCAAGTTTGATCACACAATATAAGTAAAAATTTTCGGTGACAATTACAACTTATTTAGAAGTCTTTCCAATAAAATCTAATGTACTGTAAATATACCAAACAAATAAATATTTTGACAAATGATGATAAGGAAATCACTAATTTAAGCATGAAATTTTCTTTGGTGAGTTACATATTTCATGCCACACTCACCCTAGACAGTTTCAAAACGTTTTCTTTGCAGAATCATAAAATTCAATGTTTTAGCTTTAAAATTCTGAATAATATATATCAATTCTGAGTTTAGTTCTAAAGGTTGACGACATTTCCATAGAATGATCCTGTACAGTATTATTGTGATGCTGGCGCCGCCGCATCGCTCCAAAACAATAACAAACACTGGCAAAGTATGTGTGCGTGTATATATATATATATCATTTATATTGTATTCAATAACTAACTCACTTTACTCATCTTACTGTTATTTCACAGGCATATACAGTAACCCTTCACAATACCATAATAGCTCATACATGAACTAACAAGTTTGACTGTGCAGAGTAAAGTGTCACTTGTTGTACAAACAGCTATAGTGCCAATGAAGATCAATTTGGTCTTGGGGTCATTCTCATCATTCACCCAAGAATAACATGCAACCATTTCTCAACTGTGATTGGATGACAATATCTGCTAAACACAGTACTGTACAGCTGTAATGATCATTCCTCAACTACACATGCACTTACAGTACTAGCCTGCCTACAAGAAAGAACCACCAATGAGTAAACCTGGGTTCACAGTTAGTAGTTATTGTCCCATTATTTACAGGTGCCGGTCATTATCAACAAATCCAAGTTAATGGAGCGAGCTTCCAAACATAATGCAAGTGACATCCACACACACCTACATACTACTCGACAGACCTGAGAAAAACTGCAGAGCCGAGAGATGCTGGGGTCTCGGCCTCAGCTAGTCCGAGTGGTAATACTTTCCCTCACACAGCAAAACATCTTACCTTATTTTGGTGTCCCCAGCCTTGAAGTTCCATGTCCGATTCACCCCAACCAACTGGAGCACCAGGGCCCCCTGTTGGGGTTTTCGGTTTTGTGCCCCATGATGGTGATGTAATTTGTGGTTCACCCCATCCACCTGATTTTGGCTCCTCCCCCCACATGCCACTACCCGTATCGTGAGGGGGGTCACTCCAGCTGCCATTTCTCCTGAAGTTTAATAAAATCATTTTAGTCATTTCTAAATAAATTCAAAAGGATGATAGGGACTTTACCTTAAGTATATCAAATCTCTAAACTACGACGGGTCACAATTCACTTACGGGTGTTGTCCCCACATTCGCTGATCTGGCTTAATTCCCGCAGGAACTGGCGGTCCCTGCATACGTCCCTGCTGTGGCCCGGGTATGCCTGGCCTACCCATCATGTTGGGAGTAGGCATATCCTTCCACCGAGACACATTGGCTTGTTGCTGTGGATTGCCCCACACAGCTGTACCATCATCCCGTCGTTGTGAGGGCGGTGAAGGTTCCTCCCAACCACTTGGTCCACTTGGTCCACCTGGCTTCATGTCTTTAGGACCATTCCATTGTGCTGGACCTCCTGGGCCACCGGGAGGAACACCGTGAGTAAGGCCACCGTGGGGGCCACTATGAGGTCCACCATGAGGTCCATTGTGAGGGCCACCATGAGGTCCACTGTGGGGTGCACCATGAGGTCCACCATGTGGGCCGTTGTGTGGTCCACCATGAGGACCATTGTGAGAGCCAGGGTGAGGACCTGTATGTGGACCTGAGTGAGGGCCACTATGTGGACCACCATGTGGACCACTGTGGGGGCCAGGGTGAGGGCCTGTGTGTGGACCAGTGTGTCCAACATGAGGTCCTGGTTTGTGAGGGCCCCCAGGTCCCCATTCACTGGGAGGATTTTCAATACCAGATCTCTGTGGCCCATGTTCTCCCCACCCAGCACCACCACTTCCTCCTCCTCCACCACTGCCACCGCCGCCTCCGCTCCAATCAATATTTTTCTTTGGAGGTGCACCACCAGCCCACATATTAGGAGGATTAGGTGTGTTGGCTCCCCACTGAGGATTATTGGGTGGAACACCAGTCCAAACATTAGAGGAATCTGTTGCATCGTCATCCTCTCCCCATGTACCACCATAATTAGTGGCCGGTGTATGACCCCAAGGAGCCTGCTGAGCTTTGGGAGGGGCTGCCCCACCATTCCTTAAATTGTTTTCCCAGAGGTCACATCCGTTGTTGACATTAAGCTTAAAATGGGGTGCACTTGAATCTTTACCAGGTTCTGGTGATCCTGGAAGGTCCCACGAGGTATCCTGGTTCACATTTTCTCCACCCCATCCTTCACTGCTGAGCAATGCTTCCCTGATACTCTGCAGTTGCTGCTCCATGTGACGTTTTTGAGCATCCCCCGACCCACTACCAGCTGGAAGACCTTTCCCTGCAGCTTGTGCCCAAGTGTTATTACTACTGCCTCCTTGTCCGCTGGTACCCTGCTGAGTTTGCTGCTGACTGACTCCTGTTGGTCCCTGCTGCCCTACAGTTCCTCCAGTCTGTGTGTTCTGCTGGCCTGCTGGAGAACTGGGCTGCTGGGCAGGGCCACTAGTTTGCTGTGCTGGCTTGAGGTTACCTCCCTGGGCAGGTGATGTGTTGGGGGCCCCTCCACCCCGACTGGGACCTCCACCCCACTGGCTCTGTGAACCGGACTGGTTGGCACCAGAGCTACCCCACCCAGCCGTTTGGGGGGCTGATCCACCCCACCCATTGGCTGCACTCTCCCCCCCGCCTATGAGACCCAAGCCACGTGGAATGCCCCACTTATTAACTTTAATAAAGCCATGGGGGAAGGAAGCAAAACCAAATTTTCCAGGCTTGCCTGCAGCCTGGAATTTTGATGAAGTAGGAAATGAAGCGTATTGGTTGCAGGTTGCACTTATTTGGAGTAAGCTGGCTATAGCCTGCTTTGTCTCCTGGTTAAAGCTAGGGTTGCTACCCTGGAGTTGGCTATTGGCATTATTGTTGGCCATTGAGCCAGGAATGTTGAGACTGGCCTGTGCAGGTGTGTGTGCTGCAGCTGGTGATGGCTGCTGGGTTGGCTGAGAGGTGTTGTGCAGCGCATGTGTGGTACAGGAAGCCACAGCCCCACCTACACAACAATGGCTTGATGCTGCTCTTACTGTCACAACACCTTGCTGGCCAGAGGGGGTCACAGGTGTTTCCCCAGGGGACCCCCCCAGCCCAGGGGACCCAGGGGCAGTGGTCGAGGACGGACGGCTGGGCCCCGAGGTGCCCTTGGGCTCCTCATCTCCACTGCCGACGCAAGCATCGACAACGGAGATGTGACCACGTAACGGCGTGGAGCTGAATATCACAGACAAAGATTCAACAGGTTGGCAAGGCAAGTATGGGTCAGCTCCAGCCCCATCCGCCTCACCATCTGTAACTGGGGACTCACGGCCAGCTGCTGATACTGGCGTGCTGCTTATTTCATTAGCTGCCACATTGGCAGTGTCATCAGCACTTAAAATGCTCTGGCTGCTGCTACTTTTGTGGTCCACATCCCTTTCACTTTGTGCTTCACACACCATGCCAAAGGTCTCCACATCCTGTCAAGGAAGAAGACAAAATAAAATTTTGTAAAATTATATAATATACAGTACGGTATTGTAAAAATCACACATTCACCAATTACTTAGAAAAATACAGCAGCTTATCTTGTGTCAACTATACTGCACTTGTAAACCAACCAACCTGTGTCATGACAAACAAAAATTATTTTAGTTTGAATAGATCTTTATGCAGTATAGTTTTTAAATCTTTCAAGGAGAAAAAAAGTCAATACACATTTGTTTACCAATGTTACTGGCCAAGTAAATAATATACAGTACAGGTTTTACAGATAGAGGGTGTGAGCTTTTTAATGATACAGTACTCCATATACTACAGTACTGTATACAACAGTTTACAGTTAACATGGACAAAAACCATCATACAATACAAGAAATAGTGTTGGTGTTCAGCAGCAGCTTGGACAATGGATACACTAGGTCCAACTGCTGAGAGAGTAAAAATCAAGATCCAGTCAGCTGGTCATTGGTGCAACAGGACTAACGAGTCACTAAACTCTGAAGATGAACCCAACAAAACACCAACAACAGACTAGTGAACAATGTACTCAACAAGCCCAATACAGGATATATAAAAAATTCATTTATAAATACATTCACATGTCTTTTGGCATTAACCATTTGATGGCTGCCATTTTCCTATCAGACTGAAATGCATTTAAAATAAGAGGCCAGCAGTGAAACAAGGTACAGTACGCCCGGATAATTCGTGGATTTTTATTTCGCGGTTCTCTATTATTTACAGGTGACACCCTGGAGGTACCCAAGAATGTCTAAGGGTAGTTTTAAACTTGCCGGCATTTTCGCTGCCGGGACAGAGAGACATTTGTTCTGGAGAAAGTAACTTCTTTTACCTGTATTGTATGTATGTATGTATGTATGTATGTGTGTCTACACAAACACACATACATACAATACAGGTAAAAGAAATAATTGTCCTAAGGGCAATGAAGGGAATATAAATTACTTTGTACACAAACGTTATTCACGGATTTTGTGATTCGCGGCCATTATCAGCACCTAACCCCCGCAAATTTGAAGGGCATGTTGTACCTAGTGTCAACGTGCTCCAAAATGTTATTTTTTTGCAGCTTTGTTTTCTCCACAGCCTTCCTCTATCTGGAGAGACACAAAGATATTCGAGGCTAATATCCTTAAGCCTCAGAGTGTGCCGCCACTGTCACAAGGTACCGTCCTCTCCTCCACATGACTTGGAGGAACACATTGCCTGTTGAATGGTTTTTTCCTGTTTATTGTTTCTATTATTTTTCTTCTCCCTTTTATTTCTCTTTCCCATTATTGGAACAAGGTTTAGGACCAAAACCAATGTGTTTTAGGCACAAACTGAACAACTTCAATATCATGTTACTTAACAAAGCCCTTAATAAATTATAAAATCATGCCTGTTGATTAAATTTAACACTGAAACATAAAACTTGATACAGCTTCATTTAGTGGGGTGGGGTCTCTTGGTGATGGTAGAGGTAGTCACCTCTATGCTTGGATGTCACACAAATACAGACAGATAAAGAGAGAGAGAGAGAGAGCACTTAACTTGTACCAAACAAAGTGCATCTGGGGGCCACAACAGCCACCCCAGCTGACTCTCAGGCCCCACCTAGCATGCAATTTGAATTGTCAATCTGAATAACAATTGGGTAAGCAAATCCTGTAGGGGTATGGGGGCTCTTTATCTTGTGTCCTGGTAACAGGAACCTTCCAAAAACTGGCCAAGTTCTGGAAAAAATTATTTAAAAAGAACTCCCAAGTAATTCCCAGGTCGAGCGGACACATTTCCAACCATACCCCACGTGTGACTTGTATATTTTTTTTTTCAACTTGTAATTTTGGGTAGATATTCATTTTCTTTTCTTTTTTACTCTTTTACATGCACACACAATTCTACAAACAGAAAGTGGCTATATAATGTTTTAAGCATCTATGAGGGAGTCTCCACCATGAACCTATGTGGTGAGTGTATGGAGGTCAGATTAAGAGCACCTTAGTGAAAGAGTCGGTGGAGACTGTGACACTTGTATACTTTGCCTTTTTTATGCCTTCATTGTTGTTGGAAATTTGAACCGCTTCCCTTGACGATAGTATTAATAAACTGTGAACCACTATTGTGCCGAGATCTTTCCGATGCAGTACATTTCATTTCTCGGGTCAAAAGTTTGTGCCAGAAAATCCTCCTCTTGCAGGAATTTATTTTCCACAGCAACGACGGGTGACTATAATAATATAACCCTTAGCCGTAAAGTATAGTGGGATGTAAACCTCAAATGTCATAACAATAAACCAAAATTTGAGGATTAATTGTATGTAAAGCGTGTGGGGTGTGGCGGGGTTCAAGGTCAACAGTCTCTGACCAAAGGCAAACAAACTTGTGGAAGCTGGCACAAGGATGCCACCTTTACCAATTTGAAATCAGTACTATAGTTTTGTACTCAAATTTTCCCAATCCACCTCTGTTTAGTACAGAAAATAAAGGTTATTGAAACAATTTACTGTAAAATTATTATGAACTACTGTATATTAATCTTTATTTGGATTTTCTCTTAGATGATAATTGGATACGACAACAACAGCTAAGTGTACCAACTCTTTCAGTCCTTTGATAGACGAATTGGACGTTAGCATAGTCAGGGACAAGGCTGACATGGCAGGTACGAAAACCTTAATTGTTGGCGATTCCCAGGTACGGTACCTGGATAGAGCTTTTTGTGGTAAAAATAAAAATAGGATGAGGGTGTGTTTGCCAGGAGCTGGGGTGGGGGATATAGTTGACAGGATGGACAATATCTTGTCTGGTAATGGGAACAAACCCATTATCTGCCTCAGTGCAGGAGGCAATGATATTGGCCGGTGTAGGAGTGAGGAGCTCCTAGATAAGTTCAAGGCAGCTATTGACCGTATTAGGGTGAACGGAGAGATCACTATCATATGTGGTGTCCTGCCTAGAAGGAGAGTTGGCAATGAATGGTTGTCAAGGGCAGTTGGTGTCAACGGCCATCTTGACAGTTATTGTTATCAGTCCCATTCATTGACAACTGGGACAACTTTTACGGCAGAAGGGACCTTTATGCTCGGGATGGGGTACAACTGTTGAGGGGTGGCAACCCTGCCTGGCTCCCTCGAGAGAGCAGTTCAAAGATGTCGAAGTCTTTAAACTGCTAGAGGAACATGGGAGCACCAGGGTGGAGGAGACTGCAGTGGGAGCGGATAAACAAAGTTAAAGGTTATAGTGAGTTATTAATTCCCGAGTCTTTGTAAGTGTTGTACAATATACTACACCTAATATTTTGGGCTCATGGAGTGGCAAGTTTGCCACACTCTTGGTCACAGTCTGTAAACTAGACAATTCTTACCATACATATTCTTTTTTTCTCATTAAAAAGGATTTTTTTTTTAATGGGGATTAACCCACCCGAGCACAGGTCACTGACCCACATCAGGGCCCGGGGGGTGAAAATGTAGTAATAATGATAATAATAATAACAATAACAATAACAACAATAATAATAATGATGATAATAATAATAATAATAATAATAATAATAATAATAATAATACAGCATAGAACCATAAAGAAATAAAAAATGAAAAAGATCAATAGTGAGAAACAATATATGTATGTTGTGTTGTCAATAGTAAGAGAAACAATTGAGACCCTGCAGTTGTGTGTAAATGAGGCAGAAAGTCAGATCATCAACCTGGGACTTGGTCACATATGGCAGCAGGGTCTACAACACATTATGCTTCCAATATCTTCCCAGTACCTCCCTGTTTGATAGCTGCCTAGTGCCTGCATGTATAATATTAAAGTTGGGACATCACTCCTGTATACTGACAAAGAATAACCAAATATCCCAACCGTGCAATCCTAGAGAAGAGTAACTGAGGCTCACTTGGTGGTTCTGAAAGTTACTAACAAGTCTGAACACAACAAAACAAGGCACAGCTACACCTGTCATGGTGAACTTGCAGGGAGATGGTCCATAATAATATACATGTTTTGACCAACTTACTGTAGAGGTATCAGGCACTTTGTTGGTAGGAAACTCAGGATTTGGCAAGTTTGTGACCGCGTCGGCCTGGTGTGCTTCACAGTGGCTGTCCATCCTGGTGCACAACTCACCACCTACACAACACTAGAAAAATAAAATAAAATAAAATTAGTAAAATATACAAAGTAAAATTTTTGAGTAAACAATGATGAATGAAATGAAGAAAAAGGCACAAAGCCAATTCAGTGTCTGAAAAATTCCAATAAAAATAATTTTAGTTTGGGTCCAATAGGAAATGAAGATAAAGCACACACAGACTAATTCTCTCAGTACATGACCCTGAAGTGTGGCTGGCACTACACTCATTTCCTCAACTACAGTATAAAGTAAGGTACAGCAGCCACTCACAAAAGAGGAGTACTGTATCCACTCAACTGCCACGTCCCTGCATTTCATAGAAGGTACTGTACGTCATCATATAATGTTCAAGTTTACAGTACTTCATATAATGTTAAAATGCATTACTGTACTGTACTAGAAAGCAAATGAAGTGAAATACATTAAAAACACCTGATACATCTTGACCTTTGACCCCATAATAAACTGGAATACAGAAAAGGCTCTCAAGATGCACCTGACTCTCTACTCTCAACTGAATACTAAGTAAGTCCAAGCTCAATTTTGTTTAGCAAATTAAAACATGGGTTACTGTATACCTACTACAACCATTAAATAAGCTGAGTCTGTAATAAACCTCAAACCTTCAGCTCTCATGTAAGGCCTTTGTAGAAAATTATTGCTTCCTCCTTTGAACTGGAAGCATTAAATTTCAGTTCTTTAAAACACCCACGATAACATGACTAACACACAAGTCAATTGTATGTTAGGGATAAAAACTTAACCACTGCACAGAAACTAACATGATGGAATAAAGGAAGAACGGGGCAAAATTATCTTGCCCCTCAAACTTATCAAGAGAGGCTTAACAAATAATTCAGCATGACCAGTGTTACATTACATACTTATTGGAGTTCAAAATTCAAATCCACATCAGAGGCCAATTTCTTTGCTAAATAAAGTACCTCCTACCCTTGAGATTCAAATTTATCTTTAATGAGCTATTAAAAGGTAAAGAATGTGGCTTCACCTTAGTGCTGTCCATCTTATTTCACAAATTTGTTTGAATAAAAAACATCTCGAGTTCTTCAAGTGTACTACAACTGTGACTCAACTACTGAACTGATATGCTTTTAATGTTAGAGGACACCCTTTGATGGTTGACATTTGTTTCTCGATATACTACACTATATTTTATACTTACAACAAGCTTTTAGTGTGAAATTGCAAATGCGATTATATCAACTGGTCTAAGGTGTTATTATGTATTTTGCCATCTTGTTTCCTTCCTCAAGACCTTTGATGCAAGATCATTTGATTCTAATTCTCCTCTGTGATTGGCTGAATGACCTTGCATAATATGAGCTCTGGAATGAACAAGATGATGGCTGAATGCTAAGCAACAGTACAGTATGTTCAAGCAACTAGAGGAAATTGTTGGATAAAAACACTGGGAAACAACTGTTGTAATCTTGCCGGGATTCCACAAGACACTTTCAATTAATGTATTATAATTTAGCCAAGCATGGCCATGATTCATGAGAAATGTTCATGTGTAAATGCAAGAATACACACTTTAAATATTATGAGTAATTACTTCCTGTTCAGATAGCAAAGAGATGCACCGAGAGCAAGTGTGTGCTTTAAGGCAAACCATTATTTTAACTACAGTCAACCCTCGCTTTACGCGGTCCCACTTTACGCGTTTCCACGTTTACGCGGTACCCTGCTGAACACGGAATGCTCACTTTCCGCGGTGTGTGTACCCTTTCACGCGGAGAGCGGCGTGAGCAGGGTGCGCACAAGGTCGCCCAGTCATCAAAACATTACCTAGTTCTTCACCCGCCACCCACCACAGCCGGCCCAAGTCAGTGATAATGATAGTGAGGATATGGACTTATATGGACTTTGAGGGATTTGACAAAGAGGCCCTGCAAGCCTCTGTGGTGGATAGTGATACAATTGATACAAGTGATACAGGTGAGGGCCAATAATCTGCCCTCTGCCTCGGAACCAACCCCCCATCCCCGTGTGCCCAGCCATCTTTTCTACTAATGTAAGTGTTAAAAAACCTAATATTATTGATATTTCTCTTAATTATTAATTGTGTGTGCATACCATCATAAAATTAAGAAGTTATTTTTACTACAACGTAGGTATTGTGTCTGAAAAAGTGGAGTTTGGGGGTCGGCCCAGTCTCTATTTCAATTAATGTTGTTCACTTTACACGGGCCACCGTGGGTTCAATTGACCGCGTAAAGTGAGGGTTCACTGTACTGCATAATTTTGATAAAAATTTCACCCGTTTCTTACACAATACAACACTTTTCTTTGCCAATTTAGATAAACAATTTCAACTACTAGCAATCAACACACAAATAATCAAAACTACTTTATCTATGACCAGTTCAGCCATCATTTGTACCAACACAATGTACAGTATATAAAGTATCCTGTGGCATCCCTCATGAAATATTCCAGGAAGAATTTGAAAGTTATATTCAAATGCAAATCCATGTAACGGTACTCTATATATCAAGTATATTTCTACAACAGCAGGTACCCCATCTGATTTAAACTGGTTATATAATAAATAAGGCTAACTTTCAGTACGTAAGTGAACAACCTGTTCGCTAACAATGTGTGAATGAATTTAAAGTTTAACTCCTTCACTCAAAGGGGCTGATATGGTCACCAAACACTACATCAGAAGGGGTGTTCATGCCCACCTTGTGGTGGTCAGTCTCTTATTAAACAAGGAGCTAAACAGACCAGGCTGATCACTCAGAGGAAATAAAACAAATAAATACAGTACCCTCAATACTCACCCCAGTACATGAATAAAAATAAAGTTAAAAATAAAAAATCTGACTCGGTCTAGTGGGATATGAGTGTCTTAGAATAAAACTAGTGCCATATCCCCTTCCTGGGTACAGTACAATACATCCTTCTGATGTGATGCTTGGTGTGAGGACATACCTCTGACTGAAGGTGACTCAGGAGTTACTTTAACTTTATTAAAACACTTATTCATATTTTCAAATGGAGTAAACTGTAAATATATGGAAATATTTCTACAATGTATATCCTATAAATCATTAGATAATACAAGTATACTCAAAGGCAAGAAATAATATAGGTATTACACTGAACCCTCAATAATTCAATATTCATAAGCTAACATTTCAGTCCCCCACTATTTTTCAATATAGTTGTCCCAAAAAATTTTGGTGTTAGTCTCGCAGTAATGCCTCCCAAAAGAATTTTTTTTTTAATTGAAAAACAACAAAAATTACATGAAATACACAAGAGCACAATATGTATACAAAAAATACAAGTGGAAGACGCGCACATAAAGAAGTGTTTGTGTTTAGTATAATGTTACAGTACAGTAACTATTTCAGAATTTGCTAACTTTAACTGAATTTCTGGCTTTATTTTTTCTTTTGTGCGGTACAGTAGTTTCAATATGTTGGTATAATTCAATATTTTGAGCGGATTGATTGACCCAGAGCCCCAGTGAGGGTTAAGGGTAGAGTAACTACAACACCTTAGGATGTAAACAAAGGGATAAAACACCTGAGGTAGAGGGAAAATGAATGAAAAATAAGTAAAGGAAGGTAATTAAGACACAAAGAAATACAATACAGTGCAGTATGAGCATATACAGTACTGTATGTTCTAAACTTGTGCTACACAAGGCTCTACGGATAACCAAGTTCGAGATGTTATAAAAGTAAATACTGTCCACACACACACGTGCATAAAAAAATATATTAAAATATATTATTTTGCCCTTCTTTTGGTAATCATTTCCCCTAAAGGTGGCGGACAACTCACCTTGACTATGAGAGAGAAGGCCTCTGAATCCGAGCTCCCTGAAGAAGAAACACAGAGTGGACTGACCGGGCAGTCGTCTACACACTCTTTGGCTGACAATGCATAGAACCTAAGATCTGGAAGGCAAACTGAGCTTTAGTACAGTATTGCGCTCAGCAATATATGAGCCACAAATGTTGATACTATACTATACTATATGTACGTACTTGGAGAAAATCTTCAATCTTGCTCGTACCGTTTACAGCAACACTAAACTCTCACTAATTACATATTCACAATTTCCTATTTTGGAATATTTATTTATTTTGAGCATACAGCTGTACTCAAAACACTTTTGTGTTACTCTCACAGTCATGCCCTCAGAAAGATTTTCATGAAAACAACTAAATAATTAAAATAACAGAAAATACATACAGTATGCAGTACCTATCTTATATTAAAATAAAAGGCAACAAGTGCAAACTCTTCAACAGACCACTCACCACCAGCAGCTAGCCAACACACACATCTATACACCATTGTTACCAATTTTATGATAATACAATAAGGTTGTACGAGAGCATAAAAGAATTAAATAAAGTGTGGTAACGAATGAGCTATTGAGAAGCTTGTACAGGGTGTGTGTGTGTTTTTCTCTCCCTCTGTTGTTTGTAAAGTTGTCATTAAAGTATTAAAGTCTACATTCACCTCTAAACTTACACTCTAGACGTGGGGTGACATCTCAGTACAGTCGACCCGTCAATTCGGACCCCTTTAATCCGGATTTTGGATAATTCGGACGAAATCTGAACTAAGCGAGGGACTGTCCGTATCAAATTTCTGGTTCTGGGATTGTCCGATGGATGGCGCGCGTGCGCCAGACCGCCATTCATTGTTGACTTAGCGCCATATTTGAGTATCAGTGTTGTGTTGCCCTGCAATTTTCGTTGATATTTCAGTGATTAGGCATCTTTCAGCCTTGTATTTTACATCATGTCTTCAAGGGGGAGTAATAAGCCAAAGAGGAAGTATGTGACCCTTTCTGTGAACCAGAAACTGGAACTTATAAGGAAGTTAGAGGCTGGTGCCTCGGTGGCTAGAGTTTGTGACGAGTATGGTGTTAAAAAGAAACAGTTTTGGACATACACAAGGCTAAGGACAAACTCACTGCATTTTCTTTGAAATATAATGCAATATTATGCAATATTAACCCCTAAGTCGGTTAATTCGGACAATCGGCTAAAACGGACATCCTTCCACCCCCTATTAGTCCGAATTAACGAGGGTCGACTGCAATTACATAGATACATACATAAACAAATCGTCGTTACACTAGTCTAAACTCGTCAACATGATCCGAGTTGAACGCCCAGACGAATTTTTTTCTTACAGGTTTTATAAGAAAGTGCATCAATTCACGGCCAATCGTCAACTGACATTACGTTTGGAGAATTCATTATTTTGATGGACTCAGTACCCCAACAATATCAAATTAGTGAGGGTTCAGTGTACAGTACCTCAAGACTTTAACATAATTAACTATTTATGCAGGAATTATTGGATTTACAGTATAGTTCTATGATTTTTCTTATTAAATTCCAAAAGCATAATACACTCACCTCCTGAACTTGGTACAGATAGGACATCTTGGCACGAAAGAAGAGGGTTTGGATCACATATGGGTTTGGAATTATCTGCAAAAAAAAATAAAAAATGGTCCAAAATTAAGATACACAATGATAACCTTGCTTCATCTAACCACTAAGGGTCTACCTCATGTAACCACTACAATCACCTCTAAACCACACAGCATTCTCAGTATCTTCAATAATTATCATAAGAGCAACAAAAAAACAGTTCTAAAATACCATATACAGTATATCTATATACAGTGGGGTATGCTATAACGAACAGATCCCACTACGAATATTCCTATAACGAACGGTTTTACCTATAAAATTGAGAATGCTATAACGAACGAAACTCCTACAACGAACATAATTTTTTTTTTTTTCCCAATTTATTGTTTTATTATTACAAATATTAATGATATTCTTTATTTCAGGGGTTTAGATGCATATTTATGCACTTTTTTACAATTTTTACAATTTTATATTATATTTTTCAGTGTTAAGTGGCTGTATTTGGGGGCCTGGAACGGATTAATCCTATAACAAACGAATGCTATAACGAACAAGGTTCTGGAACCAATTAGATTCGTTATCGCATAGTACCCCACTGTATATAAAATTCCTGCTGCTCAAAATCTCAATATACAGTACTGTAAATTCTGAGGCACTAAAGACTCAACCACAATATCTACCTCACCGGTTTACTCTCATAAATGGTAACCACAATGGAGTGATCATGAGCCAGATTACAAGGAGCATACCTATGCTCCCTTCTGACACATGACTGAAGGCAAATGGTCTTACAAACATGACGTAACCCCTGGCATAGCACAGTCATCACCTCTACAGTACCAAGTGGCTGAGAGTTATTGCTGGACACTGAACCTCTCATAACAGCTGACAGTCATCACCACTCACCTAACCTAAAGATTCCTCCAAAGTTAGTGAGATGACAAGATCACTACAGCATTTCAACTGTTCTGAACCCAATGAAACACCACAAGCTTGCCACTGTTCTAAATTTAACAAGCGGTCAAAATAAGACAAAATCCCCCAACTAAAACTTGAACAGTTCTGCCTAGCAATACTTCTGAATGTTAACAGTATAGTACCGGGTAATTCAGCCCAACACTTATAAATGCAATAGTTTCCAAAAAAAATGCACACAAATTAATAACCATTTAATTACAGCTTTCAAGTGTATGATGCCCCATCTGCTCACAAGAAGTGTATATACAGTACCAGTATTTTCTAAGACACCTAATCTTAAGAACTATATAGCTACTATATATGAGGCGACTAGCGTAGGAGGGACGAACTCGCCAGTCCCCCAAAAATCTGTTTTCTATGGTTTTGAAATTTTCCGGCTTTATCTTCCCAACTGTGATGTCAGGAAGTGGCGAGTTAGTCTCTACTCACCGTTGTTTTTGTATGGCGCTGTTATTTTACAGTTTTAAAACCTTTTTTTGTGCATTTACTCAAAACTACAATTTGGCGAGTTCGTCCCTCCTACGCTAGACGCCTCATATGTTACTTGATTCTTGTTCAAGCTAGTCAAACAAGGCAATTAGTATTCTAAAAACAGAAGAGACTTTCCAACAATATGCATCTGAATAATAAGCTATACTGTACCACCAAAACCTTTACTTGTGAGGGAGTGAAGGTCAAGAACAGAGATACTGTAGTGGGTCCCATGCTCCTCACATAGCAGTGTATAATAAACCTTAGTACAAAAGGAAACAGTGCGACCCACTGCACTTGACCACTTTATCTTCCCTAACTGTAGTTACAAACCTATTCACAGCTGGGTGAACTGGGGCTACCTTAGGTCCAAACCAGCAATCCTAATTAACATGAAAGATTTGACAAGAATCAAAATTATTTGACACATGAACTTGTATGAAGTTCAAATATAATAGAAAGTTAAAAAAAGGTGAAAACATTTTTGTACGGTCTAGAGTGGCCACCCCTTTAAGATGTAAACACTATTCTATCAAGGAGGAGGGGATGTGCAGCACAGATTAATTAGCAGCATGGTGTCTCTGCTACCAGTAATGGTATTTTTAAACCTCCCAAACATGTCCTTCAGCTCTAAACATGGAGATAAAGGCTGCCCTCTACATGAATTCAAACATAGCTCGTGCACACCAGTTGCCAGCTATGGACTGTCATACTGTCAAATTCCAGGACTAATCTGCACTCTCCATTATAAACCTATCCTAATACTATTTTAAGGTATACCAGACCTACTTTATGTATTACAAAATGGACGTGTTCTTGTGAAAGTGGCTGTAACGTGAACTTCCTCAATATGAACCATTTTTTCCCACACGCTCCAATTAATTTTTTTGGTCAATACAAGTAGTACAGTAATACGTACAGGCTTTACAAATGGCGATACACGTAGTATACATTTCTTAACACACGGGTATTAAGTATAGTTTAGACATTTTAAAATTTTACGTACGATAAATAATAGTAAATATTGTACATAAAAATACCAGTACCCGAACATAAGTTTTAGCAATGGCACCAAGTTTATCTCCAGCATCAAACCTCCATAAAAAACCTCCAGAGTAATTCCTTTATGTACAGTACCGTACATTTTGCAGACATCTTGAGGAGAAATACACATGTGTGGGAAAAATCGTGAAAGAACAGCAGCTACACACGGAGGCACACCATAAGCAACACTCCCAAATTTAAAACAAAGCCCGCTACCAACATCACCAAAGTGCAAATACAATTTGAATTTCTTAAGATAAATATAAAATTTTGAATTTTTTTTTTTTTTTTGCGTTCAGTGATTACAAATATATACAGTACTACAGTATAGTCTCGATTTACGCGGATTCGGTATACGCGATTGGTCATTTAAGCGACACCTTGCCAGACAATCAATTTTTATTTACACGGTTCATTCCATCATTTACGCGGAAAGTGGCGCGGGCAGGGTGCGCACAAGGTCGCCCAGTCAACAAAACATTACCGAGTTCTTCACCCGCCACCCACGGCCCAAGTCAGTGATAGTGAGGATATGGACTTTGAGGAGTTTGACAAAGAGGCCCTGCAAGCCTCTGTGGTGAATAGTGATACAATTGATACAAGTGATACAGGTGAGGGCTAATAATCTGCCCCATCCCCGTGTGCCCAGCCATCTTTTCTACTAATGTAAGTGTTAAAAAACCTAATATTATTGATATTTCTCTTAAATATTAATTGTGTGTGCATACCATCATAAAATTAAGATGTTCTTACTACAATGTACGTATTGTGTCGGAAAAAGTGTAGTTTGGGGGTCGGCCCAGTCTCTGTTTCAATTAATCCCATATGTTCTGTTATATCGTTTACGCGTTTCTCGTTTTACGCGGACCTCCACGGGTTCAATTGACCGCGTAAATATAGACTATACTGTATATATATACTATATAATTATCTTTTTTTATTTCCATAACAGAAAATTTACATTCCACATCCTGATTTTAGTGGTAGCGATTTACAATGTCTAGAGGAATAAGTTTTCATAAACAATTTCCGCAAAGCCAGGTCCGGTGTACGTACTCCAAAACTTTATGATTTAAATTCTCAGCAATAAACTTCCTGTAATTGGTATCAAGAATCACAAATGTGAGAGGGATCACTGCATCAAGGCTGACCCAATCCAAACAACCTAAGTTCTAAACCTTGGTCAGAGAACAATGAAGAGCTTGTTGATCTACGGAACAGCCTTATACCCTGTATAATGTTCCTATGAGGAACAACAGGACTTCCCCAATATTAGTCACAGTTCCATGATAACCGCAGAGCAACACAAATTCAAGGGTTATGCAAAACTACAAAGCCTCAAGGGGATGATGCCACAATGCTGTCTCAGAAACAATATCTTACAATCACAGAATGGATCAGGAGAATGGTCATAGCTACTGACTCACCCACTGGAACAAGGGAAAAATCATACAGTACTACTGCCCTGCCACCACAAACCTGGTACAGTACAGGTACCTTACTGGTAATGTGGGACTACACAAGTATATCTCATGAGCCCTTTATTATAAAATGGGATCACACAACTAAGCTTGATACCAGTACAGTACTATCTAGTATTGTACAATACAGCTCCTCCTCGACTTACGACCTGCCTCGGTCGTACCAAAATTTTGTCAAATTACGTATTTTCAAGATCCCAACGTCAGTACAGACAAAATTTTCGTTTGTAATTCACTTTAAAATGGTTGGCAGGCTTAAAAGTGAGAGTTTTGTGGTGCTGAGAAGAAAAAGAGACACCCATTTTAGATTTTCTATGTATTATTTAAGGATTTTCGACTTGACCATTTCAACTTACGACCTGGATTTGGGTCCCTAACCCCGTTGTAAGTCAGGGAGGAGCTGTAAGTATATAAAGCAGTGCCCGATTGTGTGGTTGTTAGCTATGCACAGATGCTGTTTTAAATATGGCTGAAATTTGGCATTGAAGTGTGCATTTAGACCACAAGTGTCATGAAAACAACATCTTAAAGGAATTCTGTCACTGATCCACACTGGCCTTGGTGCTGATCCACACTGGCCCTGGTCCACTTTTACCCTGTAACTGCATGAATCAGACCACATAACTCCCATAGTAATTCAGGAAGTAGCAACAATTACTGTTAAATTAGATCTGTATTTAAGTACTTTACATAGATATACTGTACCATATAAACTTCACACCCGTCAATGCTGCCCCAGCCAGTGCAGTATTAAGAAATGACATGACTGGTGAAACTGATATTCATAAACAACAAGATTTTTCTAAGTCCACAAAATAATGTTGTAACAGTAAATGTTTCTTCAAGTTACCTGTGGTACTGAATTCCTAGCTACAGTAGAGTAGTACTGTACCACAGATTGAACCCCAATTTAACGGCATCAACGGCAAATCCAATTTACCCTGTATAAGGGGGGGGGGGAAGGGTCTTTCTGCCTTTTTAAATCATAAATTGTTGAGGAACCAACACCATAGATTTCACAAAGTTGAAAAACAGACGACACTCCATGGTTTAATTTCTGTAATATTTCAACCTTGTGCACAATGTTCTGGGAAGCTCTTTTCTTTTTTGGGTCACTAGCAACTACAGTGGGGTCTTCAGGTCACTTAAGAGGCCATAATTGATGCAGAGAGAGTAGAAACTTTAGGTGATCACACGAGCACAGCCCAATACAGTACACAGAAATATGTTGTTCATTGTTAGCATAAAGTTGTCCATGTGGTGCTTCTCATCAAGTATGTGTCTCATAATCCAGTGTCTTGTTCCACTGTGAGTTTGTTCATAACCACATAAACAGCCTTGTGGTTATGTACAGTATATCCCCGTTTCCTGTAATGCTCCCACGGCATCCTAGGGATTTGTAAGTCTTTGGCTTGTTCGCTACAACACCAATGTTACACTTGAGTATTCACCACAGAATAATTTCTTGTAAATGATTTTTTAAAATTTCTTTGTATCTGAGCAATGTGTTTAAAGTAGGTTAGGCTTGGTGTAGTTACGTATTCCTTTGTATGTGTGTGTTATGAACGGCATGAGTGAGCAGAAGAGGCATCTGACGCCTTCCTTTTATATGGATAGTACTGTACTGGATCTTGCCGACTATTTTTTTTTAACAGTGCTTTGGTGTCTTCCAGTTGTGATGTGCAGTACAGAGTATACAGTAATATATAAATATGCTGATAACCACAAGGAAAGAAGAAAACAGGTGAGAAGGTTGGGTCACCTTACCCTCTGACCTGACTACTGACTGGTGCTGTGCTATTTAAAGATTAGTAGGGTCATTACCTAATACCTGACCATTGTGGACCTGGGCTCACCCTCCTCTGTATATATAACCTTGTTTTGTGCTTCTCTTTAGTCTGTACTCGCCCCTGAAGATGTGAATTACACGAAAGCGCTTGGGAACTTCGTGTTTTCTTCTTTCCTTGTGGTTATCAGCATGCATATATTGGTTCACGTCATATGGGGTCTTGTAATTTTGCAGTACTGTACTGTTTAAATCACCAAGCAGGCCTGGCTATATCATGTTGCTAAGCATTATCTTTCACTCACTCACACTTGTCTGTAAGCCTCCCAGCCACTGTATCAGTGATGTAGGGATCTCATCATGTTTGTACCCATGACCCCTATCTTGACCATCAGCATATTTATCATCAATTACTGGAGGCAGTAATAAAGTGTACCTAGTATAAATAGTAAACAATAAAACAAGTGCTGTTTATGACCAACCTCACCCCACTGCGTCACACACACGTCACTTCACGACTCTTCCTAGCCCCCGTGATGCCAACCTGTGGTAAGGACATGTATTTCTTTACTGTTTATATCATGTATGACCAGAGTGTAATATTAGAATTATCTTTTATTTGTTGTTTAAATTTTCCCAAACACTGTACACCCACATGGGAGGTCCTAACCTTAGCCCAGTGCCCGGGGGTAAATCAAACCAATAGCATCTCGCTGGGTACGGTATGTACAGTATTTACTCTGGGCATCAATATTCTGCAAATTTCAGAAAAAATTAAGTGACATTTTCAAATATGGCCCTTTGATTCTTCTTCCCCAACTACTCTCTGGTTAATATTTCAGGCAACCTGCATATATGAAAAATGGCCACATTTACATTGTAAATTTTAAAATTATCATAAAAAATAAAGCAAATACAGTACATTTAAAAAATGGCTTAAAAAAATAATACAATGCTCTATAGATTTATTGATGGTAAAATGAAACTCAACCCCCCCCCTCCCCCCCAAATACTTGTTCATTGCAATAATCAGTATTCATGAAAGTATTGAAAAGTGAAAGCAGATCTTATAGGCATGAGTGCCCGTTACGGACAGTGTGGATACAGCACACTGTATACTAAGCCTTCGGTACACCAAGAGGCAGCATGGCCGGTACTGCACTCGCCCGCCTTCACTTCCCCAAGTTGTAAACTAAAAATACCCATTTCCAGCTGGGACTGCCCGGGATAAAGTCACCGACCCCAGGGTGAGCGCCACTTTACCGCCCAACTCCATGTGATAGATTTCAGGGTAAACAAATATTGTGCTTTCAGGGTAAACAAATATTTTAACTTTCCCTTTTCAAGTACTGTATTGTACTGAAATACTGTATGATTGCTATTTTGTACTGTACAGTACACAATAACACCTCTTCCTGAAAAGTCTAATGTTTTCATTAACCCAACACTGATCATTAACTTCCAGTTATACAAACTCATTACCGAATTGCCTCAACTAGGCATTTATATTCAGTATCTTCTGAATATTAACCCTTTAACTGCTATCGTCGTTTTCGGCCGATTTACCAATATCGCGTCAGGGTACAGTTTAGTCGTCTCAAAACAATTTGCATTTGGCACCGTGAATTTAAAGCTGTGCATCAAAATTTATAAAGCACTGTACTGTACTAAGTCAATGATTGATAGGCACTGTAAGGCTGGTGGAGCCTCAAATTAACTTTCTGTTATCAACTTGGAATTATGTGCAATTACTTATTGCTCACCACCCTCCTGTCCTCAGTGGCCTACACTTATGATGCCACAGCCTGGCTCACCATATACCACCAACACCATGTCCTTTGTCATCACCACCACCACCAGGGTTCAGCAGTTGCCAGTTATCAGGTTTTTATTCTCACCTTGTGTACAGTGTATAATAATGGACTTACTCCACTATAATGTGGGATTGTAGGGTAACTTTTGGTTTGTACTTTAATAATGAAAATACAGTGATCCCTCGGTTAATGAACGCCACGGTTAACGAATTACCTTCCATAAGATTCTTCACTTCGGTTAACGAAAAAATTTTGGTTTACAAATTCCTTACGAATTTTTCCCAACATGTTTTCGCCTGCTCACCAGCTATAGTATTAGTCCGCCAATACAGTAATCGGTTTTAGGGCTTAAATTCGTAACCATTTGAGCAAATATCAAGAAGGTTGTACTACCGGGTATTCAATAATTTTCCAAGTCTTATACAGTATTAAAGTTTTTAGTCATTTTAACAATTATTTAACATAATTGAAATACAGGGAACTAGTTTTTAGCGCGCCAAACAGCCACTCAACACACCCAAAATGGCGTCAGTGTGTGTCCCTGCTCAGTGGAGGAAGCTTCTTGCTTGAGACTCTCTTGAACATAAACTATTTTTATGTTTTTACAGTACAATTATTGGTTATTCTGAAGTTTATTTTACATATTGACAATATATAATGCAGAGGGAATAAAGTCTCTCCTTGACTTACGACAACCCGGACATACGATGGCCGTGGTCGTATAAAATATTTTTAACACTACGTATTTTTGAGTCTCGACATTGGTAATCGCGCTGTGTACAGTACTGACAAAATTTTCGTTTGTAATTCCCTTTAAAATGGCTGGCAAGCATAAAAGTGAGAGTTCTCATGGTGCTGAGAAGAAAAAGAGACACCCATTTTAGAATTTCTATGTATCATTTTCGCCTTACGACCTGGTCGTCAGGACGGAACCCAGTCGTAAGTAAGTCGAAGAGAGACTGTATACATTTCTTTGCACACGAGTATAACCCCGTCAGCAGATGTTATTCGCAGTCATTTTGAGAACCTAAACCCCGCCAACTTTTAGGGCATGCTGTACAGTACTTCAATTTCACAAGAGAGGAAGAGAATTTGAAGTTGCCTTGTACAGTGTTAGTTTCAGCAACTATAGAGGCCAATAGTCAGAGAAAGCAGTGACCAATAGGTGCATACTCTACTGACCTGACTTGACCTAGCTCAAATCACTGTGTACAATACAGCATTACCATGATACAGTATGCTACCTGGTTAATACTGTACCACAAAAGGGTGGAAGAATATCATTATTCAGAAGGGACTGACCTGACCTGACAATGGTCAAGAATTGTGGGTCTTGTAGGAGACCTGTTGTTTGCACCAGAAGTGTCAGTAGCAGATCCAAGAGGGAAGGAGAGCTGAGGGTGCCCACAAGGCAGGGATAGTGTACCCTGAGGGTAAAGAAGTATCTTTCTGCCTCCCAGTATTTCTTCACCACATCTGCAAGTGGCCTCCCAAGGCCCCCTCTTCAGATGGTCTGCCAGTACCCTTTGTCAAGATACCAGTACAGGTCTTGCCATTGACATGTGCCAGTGACAGTGTTTGACCTGTTGACGGTGGTCTTAACAGTGAGAAAAAGCCGACGGTCACAATCCACATGACCCCATAACACCTGTAACATTTAATATCAATTTCATTCTAAAGTATCCAAAGTGGAAACACTTGCAATTAGATAACAAATTAACATTACCATTTTTTTTATAGGTAGTCTATATGTAGACTCCATCAAACTGAAGTGATAATGGTGAGATGGATGTGTAATGTGATGCTGAACTGAGATAGGAAACCCCATGCAGAGCTAAGAGAGTATTGGTGGGGTTTGGTGTAAAGTTAGGCTGAGACAGTTCACACATGTGGAAAGAATGGATAACAACTGGGCCAAGAGATATATAAGTTAGAATGGCAAGGGAGGAGAACTAGGAGTAATCTCTGACAGGAGCAACTGACAACAGAGGGGTAAGTCATATACTGTATATAGAAGTCAATAATCAAACTCCATTAAAAAAAAATCAGGTATACAGTACAGGATATAACAAGCACACCAGATTATTGGTAAATGTTAAAGATAGACAAGTTTCTTATATTGTTCACTAGTTACATTACTCTCTGTCCTCTGGTACTGTACACACCTGCCAGAGAAACTTTTGCAACATTTGAAATTTTTGGTGAAACATTGACAATTGACTTATTTATTACTTACTCTTTAAACTAACAAATGATACTCACATATGAACACTACATACAGTACAGTAGCTAGGGCAACATTTTGATACAGTACCAAGAAAACTTTGCTCACTGTAACTGTCTATGAGCTGTAACCTCTTCAAACTTTACCCCAAAATTTTGTCCGAAGCCGCCCACCCTGTTTACAGTACTGGTACACAATATAGTATGTTTCAGGTCAGGTACACTGTACAGTACGCAATACTATTACTTTTATTGTTTATAACCCCACCCCCGGGCTAGGGTGCTGCTGGCTGTGTCCCCCACGTGGGGTAAATCGAGAAAATCAACTTTTCCAAAATAATTGTTAACCATTTTAAATGATAAAACAATAAAAACAGAAGTAAGAAAAACTATATATTGACCCTCTATAAACTTCCCTGTGGCAGCAGTGGTGCGGAAGATAAGGGGACAGTGTTGTTTTGACGGCCAGTGCTCGTGGTCACTACGCACTTAGTGGCAATTTTCTACTTGCCTTTGTGCCCGGGATGGCCAGTAATGCATATATTTACTGACCATAATACTTATTTCCTATAAATATTTCATTTTGAATTTATTTTATTTGCATTATTTTTCATAAAAAGTGCTCGGCGACACACACACAGGGTGTCTACAGGTTGAGGGACAACTCTCCATGGGTACAGGCTAATGCGTACTAACCACAGTGAGACCATCCACGTCATCCTGTGTGTGGTGTGACCACCAAATAGTCATGCTGGAGCCTTATAACTCACGCTGGGCATTCAAACAATGGCGGGAAAAGGCGCACGATCTGGAACGTCAACCGGGGCGTAGGGGTTAATGGTTATATGGTACACTGCAGTACAATATATATATATATATATATATTTTGTGTATAACTACAGTCGTTTCTGCTACAACGCATGTTTTGTCAACGCGAATTGGCTATAACGCGATGGACGAATAGAAGAGCGATATTTGTAAAACACAAACGCGTGTTGGCTGTATCTCGATTCCACTCCAACGTTTTAAGTGTACTGTCGCTTGGCGCGGGGTTACGGAGTGTTTACAGTTCACGTTCGACATCACATTTTCAACTGATTCACGTGTTTTGTTTGTGATGTGTTATTTGATAGGGACTCTATAAATTTCATTCTTTTTTTTTCAAATTTAGCTGTTCCCATAAATACTGTATGAAAACAATAAATAAAAATAATGTTTCGCAGTGCGGACTAACAGTAATTTAAGCCCGCTCTCTCTGTTTCCATCACACAATCAGTTGAAACACGTGGGTTGTTTTGAAGCGTCCTTTGTGATTTTTGCTTACTATTTCTCCTATTTTGTGGTAGTAACTGTGTTACATTTACTGTATGATTTCATTATTAGATATGAATGTAACATTTATTTAGATTTCTATCCTTTGTGTTCGGCTAACTACTAAATTTGTTTTCAATTTTGAGTAATCTGCACCTAACCCTGTTTTCTCCATAAGCCCTGTTATTTCTATTGCGAGAATATCTACAACGCGAGGTTTTACAAGAACACAACTATCGCGTTATAGCAGAACTGACTGTATTCCATAGTTTATACAGTACACAATTTATTGGTAGTTTTACAATTTTTTTTAATTCCTGATACAGGATGTGCTAAAAGTGAACTACACGTACAGAATAAATAAATAATTTAAATATCAATAAGTTACAGCCTTAAATACCAAACAAACTGACCAACTTGATCATAACTGACTCGGCTAATGAGTGCAGATACAGTGGTCCCTCGGTTAACCAACGGTTCAATTAACAAAATTTTGGTTAATGAATTACCTCCCATAAGGATCTTCAATTCGGTTAACGAACAAAACTTCGATTAACGAAAACCTTAAGAAAGACACGTTTTGTTGTGAGCATCAGCTGATCAGCTAGTCCGCCAATACAGTAATTGGTTCTATGTTTACAATCGTTTCCAGTGGAGTAAATATCAAGAAGGTTGTGCTCTTTAATATTTTTGCATTTTTTTTATTAAAATTATTAGCCATTTTATAATTTAGTTAACAAATTGATAATATATGCAGTACAGGGAACTAGTTTTTTGTGCGCCCATCAGCCGCTTGACTCACCTGCCAAAGCGTCAGTTTAACTTTGTTTACAGTGGCGGAAACATCGTGTGTGTCGCTCTCTTGAATACAGAGTATTTTTACGTTATGTTAAAATTATTGGTCATTCTGAAATTTAGTTAACATATTGATAATATATAGCACAGTGCAGTGTTGATTTAATTACACATAGTGAACTTAAATTTGATTGGTGAAATTACTGCATCAAGCATGGGTCCAAAGAAAGACGATTTCAATTCAAGTGAAACAGGAAATTATTAAGAAACATGAAAAAGGCATTAGAACCAATGTACTGAGTAAAGAATATGGCATGTCGGCATCAGCTGTCTACAATTATTGCTTCCAAGAAGCATTAAAATGCTTCTCTCCTCCACCCCACTTCCTTCTCTTCTCCTCCACCCCACTTCCTTCTCTTCTCCCTTCTCCTCCACCACACTTCCTTCTCTTCTCCCTTCTCCTCCACCCCACTTCCTTCTCTTCTCCCTTCTCCTCCACCACACTTCCTTCTCTTCTCCCTTCTCCTCCACCCCACTTCCTTCTCTTCTCCCTTCTCCTCCACCCCACTTCCTTCTCTTCTCCCTTCTCCTCCACCACACTTCCTTCTTCTCCCTTCTCCTCCACCCCACTTCCTTCTCTTCTCCCTTCTCCTCCACCCCACTTCCTTCTCTTCTCCCTTCTCCTCCACCCCCACTTCTAATTCCCATCATCATCATCAGCCAGGAGCCTTCTACACATACACACCTCAAAGTAAGTGTACTTTACTGCATTTTGTTTATACTTTGTATGTACTTTTCTGTGAGCTGGAACCAATTACCGTACCCAATATCCCATTGAAATAATGGATTCGGTTAACAAACGACTCTGTGAAACGAACTGTTTTCATTAACCGTGGGACCACTGTACTGCTGTATATGGTATCGATAACTGACACAGTTAATCAATACAGTAGGTATGTTCTCCAGGTCTATCCCCCCCCCCTCTCATCTTACAACCAAGATAAATTATTTGGTTAGTTATTTCCTGTTCAACTAAAACTAGTACAGTACAGTACTCTTTATTACGTACTGTATTTCTTAATGATAATCCAGAAAAAATTTAGTTTCCTCCATTATACAGTACACTAAACAACTGCCTAGTTTAAATGGTCATAACCAGATCTCAGTCCCAAGAGGCCTACCACTACCATCAGCAAAGAGGTGTGTTTTTAATTTATAATTTCATTATCATATACTGTATAATATTTTAAGAGAAAAAATCAGACAAAGAAAGAAATCGACAGTTTTCACCTAGAAAACTGCAATATGCAATACTGTTCACACAACTTTAAAAAATGGCACCACTGTAATGTACTGCACCCTACTTTTCATTTAATAGTTGTGGAAACTTGCAAAAGACTGGACTTCATTAATGAACACTGAAGATTTTTTTCTTACCCAGAAAACAGCAAAACTATAATGCATTCATGTCAAGTTTTACCTTAATACTAGAATAATACAACCATCATCAACCATCATGCTTCAAACAAGTTTGACTCAGCTACAACCTTGACCTTTGACCTAGACAACTGAATTTATTGCTCTGCACTTTAGTGATACTGTACTGTATCATAGATATTTATGTAAAGTTGTATCCATAAGCCTCACTGTACAGGTACAGTATCTGTATTGATGCAGGAGTTATGATCCAAACTAGATTATGACTTTCCTGTCATCTTGAACTTTGACCAAGTCATCTCAACAGCCTCTCATTAAGATGCATTACCTCAAGATTTTGTTAACATTAGTCAACCTACTTCAATGGTGTACAGTAACAGTACAGTACAGTACAGTAACAGAACAGAACAGAACAGAACAGTACAGTACAGTACAGTACAGTACAGTACAGTACTCTGGAGAAACAGCCTAACAAAGCATACCAGTACCGGTATCTGAGGAGTTGTAGGCAACTCGAGGGGATAAGTCACCCCTGACAGAAGGCCAGGTGACAGTACCACACTATACCTGGAGCTGTATCACCTGCTCTTGGTACTGTACTAGACACATGTTCTTAGTTTAATGAGAATAAACCTAACAGTTGTTGAGATAGAAAGTTCCACCTATCAGACAACAGCCTTTCAGTCAAAAGAGTGTTGTTACATTGAAACCCAGGTACAGCATTTGCTTCTGCGAGGGATACATACAAATAAAGTTAGTGTTGTGGTGTACATAACTCACACTGTACAATGAGTTTCAGTATAGTATTGTGAAGAATATTATAGCTGGACATGCACATTCTCTCTCTTAATTCCCAAATGTACCGGGTACTTTTAATAATTT